CGGGACTCTTCTTCAGAAGAAGGGTCCCGACCCGAAACGTCACCTTTCCTGCTCCTTTGATGCTGCCTGGCCTGTTGTGTTCCTCCAGCTCCACACTGTGTTATCTCTGACTCCAACATGGCAGTTCTTACTGTCTCAGAATATTGAAAAGCCTTGATCGAGTGGACGAGGAGAAGATGTTTCCATGTGTCGGAGAGACTAGTACCTGAGGGCACAGCCTCAGTGAAGGCATAACCCTTTAGAACTGAGACAAGGTGAATCTGTGGAACCCGTTGCCACAGAGGGTTGTGGAGGCCATGTCACTTTGTGTATTTAAGACTAAGGTAGATAGGTTATTGGGGATAAAAGGTTATGGGGAGAAGGCAGGGTTATGGGTTTGAGGAACGTATTAGTCATGATTGAAGGGTGGAGCAGATTCGATGGCCTAATTCCGCTCCTATACCTTATGGTCTTATTAAAAAGACTTGCTGTGGTTCATAGTAAAAAGCTATCAGTCTGGACAATTTTTAAATTTACACTTGAATGTATTCCTGTAAGATTTTATATTTTATAAAATATATATCTCATTCCACATATGGTAAGAATTCCAAGAAATTTGGGCACTTTCCTGTTGATGGTATGCTTGGACTGTCAACTGTCACTACACAGTAAGTGATATTCCGTGCCCTTCGTAACACCTGACTTGATGAATGTGCTGAGGACAGAGATTGGCTGTGGAAAAAGATATGAAATTCTTTCCATGGGCCCAGCAAAAGGTGCTAGAAGTACTGAAAATGGGAGAGTGAAATCAGAGAACAGACTTGTGAGCTACTCTCCAAGTCCAAGAACTTGTGTAAAAATTCTTCTCCTTTGATATTCCCAATGGGAACACTGCAGCAGGAGAGAGAGTCTTTTTCACAAATAATGTTGGTTAACACTTACCACATGGATATACTTCACAGTTCTAAGAAATTGTTGTAACACTAGCAAGTACTCCAGGATGTTATCTCCGTTGGTTATGTCATGTTTGAGACCTTGTGAAACTGGGAACAGCTTTACTGCAGAAGATAAAGCATGCATGTTCTGTATTACAAATACCTTTTCTCTTTTTATGTTTCAAATGTGACAAGTCAGAATTCATCTTCATTGGAAGTACCCATAAATTTATTACGAAAATTAACGGAAACTAACTGATAGAAACTGTTAATCACCAAGAGATTTAATATTAAAAATGCCTGATTAAGCAAAATGCCCTAATTTTCTTCTGAATTTCTCTAAACACTTGTAATGATTCCTGTCTGTCTTGCCTTGATTTTACTATGCTTTATGCCTTGGCCTTTACAGTAGTTGCTATGAACATGAAATCTGAGCCAATCTAAATGAAATACTTATTCACCAGAATATGTCCAAAATCAATGTTGCTTTCTCCAATATATTTCAATAAGCTGATTTAAATCAGGAGAATGTTATTCTGTTGATTTCAAACTGCCTTAAATACAGAAAGTATGGAAGTGTTTTACCATAATGATTCTTTTGCGATTGTTAATGGTGTCAGTGTTGGCAGGTTGAAGAAGGAGGCTATGTGAGGATATTATGTTTATTAATGAGATTAACAATGCTAATTTCTTTTGACTAATTTGTATCACAATTTACTGGGATAGTGCACTAGAAATTGAGCCCCATTATTCCCGAGTTGTTGCAAGTGGAAATTTGATTAAACCACCAAATTTCGTAGTTTTACTTAACTGTGTAATGAGGTTAAAAGAATATGAAACCCACATTTTCCATTAACAAGAAAATAAAAAAATGCAATCAAACCATTTTTAACCAATGGCAAGAAAGAAACATGAATTGCTAATAACTTTATTTGCCCCTTTCCTGTTTTAAACAAATGCTGTAAAATATACATACAAATAGACACACAAAGAGAGAAGACCAGGATTTTCATAGTGAGAAAAGAAAAATAATAGAGAAACAGCTTGATAGTATCAATCAGACTACCTGAATTGATGAGTTGTTTTCTTTCTTTTCCTTTTGAATCCTTTTAGTACTTAGCTAATAAAACATGGTTGTTTGCATACCACTGCTATCTTCCATTCATTGGTTGAGCATTTTGTTTGCTTCCTTCCACATCTCCTTTCCTTCCTTTCTGTTTGAAGATAGAGCTGTTTAGTGAAATGGTGAGAACAGCTATCAGGAGATTTTTGTTACTTTCTGCACAGGAGACAGAGAAAGATGCTTTTTCTTTGCGAGCTAGAAATTTCTCCTGTTTTCAACAAGGTTGTAGCCACTTACCCAAGAACCAATCAAAGCCATGTCTCTGCGCAAAACTGTTCTGAAAACATGAAGTCAAACTACATTCCCAGTAACGTCCGCAGGTCTGTGGCCGTGTACCCGGGAGGAATAAACTAGGCACATTCCATGATCCTTTGCCCACCCCACAGCTACCAAGGACAAATAAATGATGGAAAAGCGAGAAACCATGCTTTTGACAATCTATTTCACTGTAGATCAATACAGTAGGTTGTGTTGAATAAAATATAGCTGGCAAGAGCCCGAAAATCTAAAACACAATTGAGACAAAGGTTCCATTTTCTTGGGCTGGGGAAGTAGGTCATTTAATCCTTCAATTCTACTGCCACTCAATGTGATCGTGCCACAAAATTGGCTGCATGAGTATCGAATACCAACTGATGCTTCAGAAGCTATATACAGCCAAGGACAAGATTGGGCTGCATGGACTTAAATGCAGTCTTAGACTCTCACTGGAATTCAACTTTGATCTGTTCTCTTTTTACCGCATCCTCATCCTAGTTTCCTTGGGTAGAAGGATATCCATATGATAAGCCTGTGCAACTATATAATGCATACCACTGAAAAGTAAATACTGAAAAAAGAAATACTCAACACCTTGGTCTCACTTTAAATAGTAACAGTTGGCATTCTGTGTAGAAATTTTGTCAGATGTAAATCTGACTAAAGACATTTTCAACAATTATTTGATGTTCTCCGGTGAATAATTCACTATATTTGTTAGTGCCAATAATCACTGAGACTGTTTTTGGTTTGGTTCTATTCTTCAACCCATTTGTGTTAGGATCTTTGTTTGATTGTGTATTGTGACAAATCTCAGCAATTTCAGCAAATCTGTGTTTACAATGTCAATGCTGTATAATGTGTGGATGGTAAATCATGACAATTCATTTTTCAACAGTAAGTGTAGATACATTGAAATGAACTTTTCTACCATTAATCCCCATAGACTTATTTTAAACTGAGAGATTGCAGGAGCTTTATCTACCTGATTTTTTAAATTTATTCAATCTCCATTTACCAATGAAAAATGATCAATAACAAAGTCAAAACTGTCTGCATTTGTACCTCCTGTATTAAAGAGACTTTATTTTAAACTAAATAATGATTATTGATTTTTATAGTTCATTAATGGTGCCAAGGAAATCTGCTATGCACTCCGCTCAGAGGGTTACTGGGCAGACTTCATTGACCCATCTTCAGGCCTTGCAGTAGGTATCCTTCAGCAATTACTGTTTAATTCTTCCATTATTAGGGCTGTTTGGTGATGAAGGCTTTAACTTTAATGATTTTCTTTGTAGCGAAGTTCTTTTTGATAGTCTTTAAACTAGATCTTTTTTTAGAAGTGCTTTATTGTTGTGATTCATTTGGATTAGTTTCTGGCTTTCTGTTGAGAGTTTGTTCTCGTGACAGATTTGCACAATTTAAATTTTATTGCTTTTGTCAACTAAACATTTAAACCTGAGGTTTGAAAGGGCTGAACCATTTTAATTTGTTAAAGTGCAAAATGCTAACTGCTGTAATGGCTTGCAAATATGATAGGAATTTATGCAACCAAAGAGGTTTTAAATAGTGAGAAATTACCTGAATAGAAGAGCAGTATGCAGCACACGATGGATATTTTATGCAGAGATGTTATTATAATCACATCTGAGAAGAACAGAATAATGGCATCATGGCTTTGTGTAGAAGTGAATCAGTTTTACATGACAATAGAATTAGTTGTGCCATGGTACATAATGGGTTGGATTTTAATTCTGCAGGGGAATCAGTTTGAGGTTGGTGTGCTGACAATGTGCTATCATCTAGCCTCCCTGCATGTCAGCATGTTTCAGCCCATGGTGCAGTTCTTGGCAGGGATAGAGATGATGACAGCTACCCATCTGCCCATGGTGTAGAGCTAATCAAACCAATTAAAATGCCAATTGTGTGCATTCTACATACCCAATGTAGTGAAGCCTGTAGATGGTATGTTGCGAGCCACAGGTAAATCCAGCAAAGTAGCCCAGCATAGATTGCAGATCATTCTGTGAAGCTGGTTCTCCTCTGCAGTTGATGGCCTGGCAGTTGTGGGCACCTTATATTTTGAAATATTTAAGTCTTCAGGTATCCTTGCATCTAGGATTAGGAGCACCAACCTTTCCTAGTTGGGTTGATGGCTACCCAATTCTCCAGCCATGGAGTCATCCTGCCTCCTTAAGTGAACTGGGCTCCCAGATACAGCCTGTACATTGGCTGCATCCTCAATAATTGCTCCTAGGATCCCGTCATAGTCACTACCAAGTAGCTAATATGGAATTCAGCCTGGCAGCAAGATTGGAATAATAGAAATAAAATTCTGACCCGCATTGTTTCTAAAGTTAGCATGACAATCACACACATGTACTCTCATTTTGAAAACTCTATTTATCCAAGAGTAAATATATAAGTTAGAAATTAAATCAAGATTTCAGGAAGTAAAAATGTAATTGTCATCTGTCATCCTCTGCTCATTTCCCCGTGCCTTAGAGTCTTGTTCTTTGCTTTTAAGTGCGAGAAGGCCGCCAATTTCAATGACCAGTAAAACTGGAGAAAAGGTTAAAATATGTATTTCCATTGCCTCTGTGTGTGCTTAAAGGAAACACAAACCCTCTTCCCGAAACATCCTCCATTTGAAAGCATCTCTTGAGGTTCACGTCTTTCACCACTACCAGCAAAAATTTGCCATTTGCCATGGTTCATAAACCTGAGCATGGGATTCATACCTGGGCCTGAGGTGACTGATGAAGGTTAGGGATGATGACCCACTGAAGTTTCAAAATATCCTGCTACCTCTGAATCATGTCAGTATCTGACCTTGTGAATGAAAGATGAATTACTACATCGAATGGGTTGCTTTCGTGATTTGGTAACTAATTTGGTGCAATCTCCTGTGTTGAATATTGCAGTGTTTTATGATTTAATCAAGATCAACGTTGCCCTGTTAGAAGTTTAAATATACCAAACTTGCAAAAATAATTTGAAACCCTTTGAGGAATAAAGTATATTAGCATTTAGAGCAATAGCAGTTTTTCTTATTGAATATTATGTTACTGAAAGCAATCAAGTTTTTTTTTCAAATAATTGCAGTGATACCTCATATCATTTCTTGCAGTACTTTGGACCATACGCAAATAATACACTGTTTGAAACAGATGAGCGCTACCGACATCTTGGTTTCCGTATTGAAGATCTTGGTTGTTGTAAAGTTATTCAGCACAAGCTTTGGGGGACACATGTATTTGTTGGTAGTCTTTTCACAAATGCACCTACAGATTGCTCAGTAATGAAGAAACTGCAAGGGAGCACCCCACTTTGATTTCAGCCATGATTTTAATATTAAAAGGAGGCCGGAAGATTGGTTAAAAAGCTCCATTTTATTGATGCATTCTGGTGGCTTGTGTATATGTAGTTTGAGAAGAAGGCTGTAAGATGTTGAATATATCATGATATTTATTTTAGTTTACTTCAAATGATGTTGTAAAAGACTGATGATGAAAAGTGTCACTGGGGTATGTGCCCAATGTAATGGAAATGTCGCTAAAGAAATCTAATCAGTGATGCTTCAGAACTGTTTACTGATGACATTTGGTTCATGTTCTATAGTTTGTTCCAATTCCAGTGAGGCAGTCTATCTCAACTAAGCAAATAATAAATTACATTTTGTAAAACTCAGGTGTGTGGATACAATTATTTCTTTCCAATTTTACTGAAGTATCACTTTAAAAGAAAAGAATACTAGCATTTGTATAATGCCTTCGAAGACATCAGGATGTCGCAAAGCACTTTACAGCCAATTAAGTATGATGGGAGTATAGCCACTGGTAGTAATGTAGGAATGTGGCAGAAAAGTTGTACACAGCAAGATGCCACATGCAGCAATGTGATGATAACCAGTTAAATAATTTTGGTGATGCTGGTTGAGTGTTAAGTATTAGCCAAGGAGAGCTCCCAAACTCCTCATCAGAATAACAGTGATTCTTTTACCTCCACCTGATGGCAGATGGGACCTCAATTTAACATCTCCAATAGGCAGCACTTCCAACAGTGCAGCATGCTTTCAGTACTGCAATGGAGCATAGATGATGGCTTCTTCACAGCCATGCTAGTGAAATAGTTGCCGTAGAATGGTGTGAAATGCTGAAAAATACACCATTTTATTGAGGCAGTCGACTTTGTAGAATGAGGCCAAGACAACATGGTGAGTGGTCATGAGTACAAAGACAGCAACAGTATCAAGAGTAGAATGCAAAGCAATGATTGAAACCCAGTAAAATTACCATATTCAAAACATACAACTTGTTACTTATAATGGATTATGGGTTTTCAAACTTTATTGCCCCGAAGCATCTTGACACATGACGTACTGTTTAATTGAATTTGTTTTGGTTCATTAGTGAACTTCAGTTTTAAAAATGTCTTTCCCTACCCAGTAAAATAAAATTACCTTTTTCCTTGAAATAGAAATGAGAAAAAGAATAAATGGGCTGAAATTGTGTCACAGGCACTATTTTCTTTTTAGAAAATATTGGTACTAGCTGAATTTTTCAAGGTTCTGCCATGAGTAGAAATATCCAAGACATAAAGATGTTGTCCTTTATATGCTACATTCCAACTTAACAAATCTGTTTTCCTTACCTATCAACAAGTAAAACCAAGGGAACAATCTAGTCTACCATTTTCTACCTTCATCTATGAAGTGGAGGGTGGGTTCCAAGCAAGTAGAACTGAGCACTGATTTGAATACTTCATTTTATCTGGTGAAATTGAAAAGTATTTTTGGTGTGCCTACAGTGACTAAGTTATTATGGAAACTGAAAGAACTGCGGATGCTGTTATATCAGGAACAAAAACAAAGTTACTGGGAAAAATCAGAGTTAATGTTTCAGATCTGGTGACCCTGCCTCAGAATGCTGTTTTCTGAGGAAGGGTCAGCAGACCCGAAACATTAACTGATTTTTTGTTTACTTCACAGGTGCTGCCAGACCTGCTGAGCTTTTCCCGCAACTAAATTATTATGGATACTGATTTTTATAAAACAATTCACAGTGCTGACAATGATGCAATTTTAGAAATTAACTTGCATTAAATATATTCAATGTTGTAGCTTGCTCTTCAAACATACCAATGAGTATAATTTTAGTTAGGCACCTTTGTTGTGGTCTACAATTTTTGTGCCCTGGAATGGATTTTGAACCCAGAACCTCGTGAAATGTGAGTGGGCTATGTACTGAATAGTGGCTGACATTCCAGAGCTAAAGTATACAATTACAGTTATGTGAAAATATGTCAAGACCAGAAAAATACTGAAAATCGCACAGCATCTCAGCAACTGATAAAGGAAAATGCACTTTGTTATTTAAAATTTCCAGGATTCAGTTTTTTTTGGTACTTTAAAGAAATGTTAAACCTGATTAACATCCATTGGTGCAATCATAAAATTCCAATACTAGCAGATTCTTTCACTTTTATTATACATTATAGATACTTTGGCTGAAAAACTAGACATTGGGAGAAAGTTTGTACTTTGATCAGCAATGCTTCCCTGGTCTAATTATATTATAATGCATGATTAAAGAACTAAGAAACAAACCTGTCAGATTACTATCATATATTCTGAACAACTGTCAGAGTTGTTCATTCTAAAGTGGTATTTCTAAGTACTTGGGAAAAATTACTAGCCAAAATAAATCTTTAGTGCTCCTTGTCAATGTTTTTAATTAACTAAATGTTTTTTAATTGTGCATTGTTTTTGGACATTTTTCTTATATGTAGTTGTGATTAATGAATGGTGCTTAGTAAATAATTTTAATGAATCTGCATTCCTTTGTGATTTTCCTACTAGCAAACTTTAGTTGATATTACTCATTGCCATTGAACAAAGTTTTTTTTTGTACATGATATTAATAGATCTGCGGAGGAGAGTTCAGGAACTTTATTCAAAACAGCACCCAGTGTCAAGAGCCTACAAACAGATTGTGACAGTCGGAATAAAGTACAAAATTTAGTTTCTCATGTGGTAGAATTTAACAGATTTACATTGCAAATTTGCATTTAATTCATCCTGTGAATTATACACGTCAGTATAGCAGCTCAGGTTCAGGACAGCTACGTTACACCAATCTGAGAACGAACCCAGATGAGAAAATTGAGCGAGTTAGTGTTTTCTGTCCCTTCTGGGATCTAAATATTGTTTTAACCAAACGGACTGAGGTATTCTGTGTGGAACAGTAAAAGAATATAAGACTTTGCTAAATCCACAGCTGGAGTACTGAGTTCCGTTTTGGGCTCCATGCTATAGTGCAGTTGTGTCGGTGGGAAAATGTCAGATTCACTGCAATGGTATTTGATGTTAAAAAAAATTACAAAAAAATTTTGCAGCAGAGAAAATTATGAAGTGATTGGAAAGAGATGCATTAACATTTGTGACTAAAACGTGACAGCTAGATAGAGAATGGCTGTGGGTTCTTAAATGGGGGGATAGTGACAATATTAAACATTAGAGATTGAGGAGGAGAGAGCAGAAGAGTCAAACACTGAGTGTTGCTGAAACTGCAGTTAGCCAGATGAGCATTCCCTTACTTAAAAACTGAAAGGACTGCAAATGCTGGAAACCAGAGACAAAAAGAGAAATTGCTGGAACATCTCAGCTGGCCTGGCAGCATCTGTGGAGTGAAAGCAAAGTTAATGTTTTTGGTCCAGTGACACTTTGGAACTGTTGGTAGCTAGGAAAATGTTGGTTTTTATGCAGAAGATGGGGAAGTGGTAAGGAGTAAATGATAGTTGAAGATAGAGACCAAAGAGCGAGAAGACCAGTTAGACAGACAAAGAAGTGGATAATGGTCAGCCTAGGAGAATGAATGGCCGCTAATGGGGACTATTAGTGGCTAACCATGGGTAGTGTGTAATAGCAGAACATGTTATAACAAGGCCTTGTGTGTTACGGCTGGGGTAAGGACTTGGGAGAACGTGCCTCGAGCCCTAAAATTGTTGAACTCTATGAAGTCCAGAAGTGTAAAATGTGGTGCTTGCACTGAGCTTTGCTGGAGCATTGCAACAAGCCTGAGAAACGGATGTCGTCCAACGATGAGATGGTAAGTGAGGACAAGGGGCACCCTATCACCGTTGTGTCCATTCTCCCAGTTCCTTCATCTCTGTCGCATCTGTTCTGATGATGCCAATTTCGATGTTTTCTGAAAGATGGTACTGGAAGGCTGCTGAGACGGTTAAGATTTGAGAGCTCCTTGCCTAATCTGATGCACCAGTTTCTGGAGGACCAAAGAATAGAAAGCTGCCTTTGTCTCGGTGACCCTGATCAATGTTTCATGAAAAGCAGCCAAGGAGTTGATTCCCAACCATGCCTGTGAACAGTGTATCATGAAGGACATTTAAATAATCTGGCCAGTTTTGCTATTTTCCTTTATTCATTCCTTGACTGTTTGCTTGTTTTTTTTTGTGACTGGGGCTGAAAGCAAATGTAGAGCTGGATGAACACAGCAGGCCAAGCAGCATCAGAGGAGCAGGAAGGCTGACGTTTCGGGCCTAGACCCTTCTTCAGAAGGGTCTTCATTTCTGAAGAAGGGTCT